TAGACCAGTTTCGATGCCAAGAAAAATGCCCGCGCCACCACAGACAGTCTAGATGGTTGCTTGTATGAAAATGTCCTGTAAATAAATGGTGGTAAGTCAAATTTTACTGCCTAGTTTACCATCAGATTTGCTGAGTGAGTGGGTTTTTCAGGCACCTGCTGATGGGGTGTGTGGCAGGGTGGGCTCTCAATGTGGAGGGCTTCTTGCACCCTTTTCCCAGGTGCTGGGGAGCTGCTCCGGTGCTCTCCTCCTTCATCTGCCGCCGTGCCCATGGTAGCAGCTGCCTGCACGACTTGGGGGCTCCCAGCACAGAAGGAAACTTGTAAAAATCAATAAAGCCACAGGCTCTCGTAATTCCCTTGCAGGTTTTTTCTGCTGTTTTCTTGGGGATGGAAAGCAAGGAAGGGGGGGTTACATACCTACAGTGCTGAGACCTGGCACGCACCACCTCCCGGGCATAGATGTTGCTACATTGCAGCTCTTCTCTTTTGCTGTTGGTTATTAATAAAATTCTAATGTTACTCTTTAGATTGTCCTGGGTAAGCTTTGAGAATCATGTCTTGGTGCTGGAGAGGGCAAGAGGAGGTGGAGGGATGAGTGCTCATCTTTACTTTTCTGTCTGACTGGCAAAATGTGTGCAGGAATGAACTGGCAGAGCTGCTTCCTCGGTTTCTGTTGCTGAGTGTGTCCAGGCAAAGGCAAAAATTTGCAGAATAGTACATTGTAAATTAAAAAGAGAAGCAAGTGCCTACAGCTGTATGTTCTGTAAATGTGTGTGTATGTATGTATCTGATGAACCTGCAGTTTTTTTTATTCGCATGCCATTTTGCAGGGTTTTTATAATCTTGCTGTAATATATCATTTTAATGATAAAAGTCTGTTATACATGAAGAAACCTGAGAGCAGTAACTCTCCATGAAGTCTGTCCGTAAGGAAAACCACCGTGTTCTTAACTTGAGATGAAGACAGGCCAGATTTATACATGTTGTTAGAACAACTGAATAGCTGGAAAAAACAAACCGGTTCTTTGAGCGCACATTCCTCTCCACATCTCCAGTGGTCTTAGACATTCATGGTTACAATAACACTACTGATTGCTCATATGAATTAGCAGCTTTGAGTAACAGATAATGTCCTCTATAGAGGTAGGTTATGGCACCATATATACATCCCTGTCTGGTCTCAGAGACGATGAGGGATATTTGGGACAGGAATTTTTATTTTTATAAAGCAGGTGAGTAATCACCTAGCTTCTATTCATTAACGGTGCAGCTTTGCTCATATGAGCTTCATTAGTTCTTCACTCATGAGAAGTGTGAGTTTTACTCCCAAAGAAGAATTCTGGGGGGTCCTCTTAGCTGTTTGCTTGGTGTCAACCACCAGTGCACATCAACCAGTCACACTGAAACATGGTAGGTGTTGCCTAATCAATATATTGTCATTCTTTTGGCTTGAATGAAATCAGCATACTTACCAGGATTGTCTGTCCTTCAGTTTGCTCATAAAGGGAATTTACAGTATCTTGAGCCTAAAACTAGTCTTTTCTCAGCCTTTTGGACATGTTTAGCTACATAGACTTAAAGTAAAAGTGGTTTTAACCAGCTCAACCCGTAAGTGTGAACAAATTCTCTTTTTTTGAGGCTATTTCAGAACTGAAATCTTAATATAAAAGATGATGATAAAAATAGTTCTAATATAAAAAGTAAGCAAAAAACCGCAAAGCTTTTGGATTTCTTTCAGTGTCACCCATTCATAGTAATGCTTAAATAGAACAAAAAATGTGTGAGTCCAGGCTTTTTTTTCTTTCTTTCTGTTTTCCAAGTCAACTTTAATAAATATGTAGAAGAAGCTGAGGGGGAGGAGGAGGAGAGGAGGCGACCGAGACTGAATGCCAGGTTTCTCTGAGCTCTCATGTTGCAGAGCACTTAGATCAGTAAAGTGAGGGCTAGCTGGACTCTCTGGTGTTATTGTTGCTAGTCTAATTTCTCTGGAAATGTGCTTCCCAAACAGTCCCAGCTGTCCCAGGAATGCAGTTTAACCATTGTTGTCCATAGTTCTTGATTGGAAAGAATTAAAAAATGTCATTCTGACCAGAGATTTATGCACTGAGATTATAGCCATTGAATACCAGGAGTTAGGTGAAGTTTTTATCTCCTCTTTCACTTGGGTTAGACCCTCCCTCCTTTCTTAGCAGAATGACACAGTACTATATTTTATTCTGTGTTTTAAAATAATAATGAAAAAGTATTACAGTTGTAATAACAACATTTGCGTCGCAGATGAGGGGTTTTTTTGCTGCATGCAGTTGAAAGCAGCTGACAAAAAAGCTCAGGGATATGGAACTCCAGAGAAGATGAGGTTTGGAAAATAGACTCTGTATCTGCTCTCCTATTTTAGTGTCTCAAAATAATAACATTTCTGACTGTTTATTTCTCTCATTATAATAGTGAGATTTCAGTCTGTGTTTGCATCTAACTTTCTTTTACTGCCATCATTTGTCAATGCATGAATACACTGATAGTGCCAGACTTTGGATCCCGATTAGAACTGTTTCACAGTACAGACTTGCAGAGCTCCTAACTTCTGAATCGACACCACAGACCTGGGTACCTAGACGGAAGAAAAAAGAAGGTTTCTTTTTCAAGCAGCACTGCCCTAGAGTCACTATTTTGGAGTGTTCTGGTCAGTTGCTGTTGAGACTTAAAGCAGAATAATTAATGTGCCTCTCAGCACCTCTTACCTACTATGGTTGATGGCTTAGAGTGCGCCAAAAAGTTCTGGGCTTCCATAAGAAATGTGAAGGTTTTTGTTTCTGTTAGTTGCTACAGCTCCCATGCCTTGAAATATGTCAGCAGTCTTAATTTGATCATTAATCTGTATAAATATGAAAATTTTGGCATGTAAAAGGCTTTCCCCCTAGGATAACCGTATGTGTCCATACATTTATTTCTGGGTTGGATAGATTAATACACATGTTATTTCAAGGGGAAGAGTCATTATGCCATAGCTGCACAGCCACTCACTTGCTCCCTGTGGTGGGATGGGGGAGAGAATTGAAAGGGTGGAAGTGCAAAAACTCATGGATTGAGGTAAAGACAGTCTAATGGGTAATGTAAAAGCTGCAACTGCAAGCAAAGCAAAAGAAGGAATTATATTCGCTCTTTC